AACAGTATACACGTGGTCACAACACTATAGTACTGTAGTAAACAGTATACACGTGGTCACAACACTATAATACTGTAGTAAACAGTATACACGTGGTCACAACACTATAGTACTGTAGTAAACAGTATACACGTGGTCACAACACTATAGTACTGTAGTAAACAGTATACACGTGGTCACAACACTATAGTACTATAGTAAACAGTATACACGTGGTCACAACACTATAGTACTGTAGTAAACAGTATACACGTGGTCACAACACTATAGTACTGTAGTAAACAGTACACACGTGGTCACAACACTATAGTACTATAGTAAACAGTATACACGTGGTCACAACACTATAGTACTGTAGTAAACAGTATACACGTGGTCACAACACTATAGAACTGTAGTAAACAGTATACACGTGGTCACAACACTACAGTACTATAGTAAACAGTATACACGTGGTCACAACACTATAGTACTGTAGTAAACAGTATACACGTGGTCACAACACTATAGTACTGTAGTAAACAGTACACACGTGGTCACAACACTATAGTACTATAGTTAACAGTATACACGTGGTTACAACACTACAGTACTATAGTAAACAGTATACACGTGGTCACAACACTATAGTACTATAGTAAACAGTATACACGTGGTCACAACACTATAGTACTATAGTAAACAGTACACACGTGGTCACAACACTATAGTACTGTAGTAAACAGTATACACGTAGTCACAACACTATAGTACTTTAGTAAACAGTATACACGTGGTCACAACACTATAGTACTTTAGGAAACAGTATACACGTGGTCACAACACTATAGTATTTTAGCAAACAGTATACACGTGGTCACACCACTATAGTACTGTAGTAAACAGTACACACGTGGTCACAACACTATAGTACTGTAGTAAACAGTATACACGTGGTCACAACACTACAGTACTTTAGTAAACAGTATACACGTGGTCACAACACTATAGTACTTTAGGAAACAGTATACACGTGGTCACAACACTATAGTATTTTAGCAAACAGTATACACGTGGTCACAACACTATTGTACTGTAGTAAACAGTACACACGTGGTCACAACACTATAGTACTGTAGTAAACAGTACACACGTGGTCACAACACTATAGTACTGTAGCAAACAGTATACACGTGGTCACAACACTATAGTACTGTAGTAAACAGTACACACGTGGTCACAACACTATAGTACTATAGTAAACAGTATACACGTGGTCACAACACTATAGTACTGTAGTAAACAGTATACACGTGGTCACAACACTATAGTACTATAGTAAACAGTATACACGTGGTCACAACACTATAGTACTATAGTAAACAGTACACACGTGGTCACAACACTATAGTACTGTAGTAAACAGTATACACGTAGTCACAACACTATAGTACTTTAGTAAACAGTATACACGTGGTCACAACACTATAGTAGTTTAGGAAACAGTATACACGTGGTCACAACACTATAGTATTTTAGCAAACAGTATACACGTGGTCACAACACTATAGTACTGTAGTAAACAGTACACACGTGGTCACAACACTATAGTACTGTAGTAAACAGTATACACGTGGTCACAACACTACAGTACTTTAGTAAACAGTATACACGTGGTCACAACACTATAGTACTTTAGGAAACAGTATACACGTGGTCACAACACTATAGTATTTTAGCAAACAGTATACACGTGGTCACAACACTATTGTACTGTAGTAAACAGTACACACGTGGTCACAACACTATAGTACTGTAGTAAACAGTACACACGTGGTCACAACACTATAGTACTGTAGCAAACAGTATACACGTGGTCACAACACTATAGTACTGTAGTAAACAGTACACACGTGGTCACAACACTATAGTACTATAGTAAACAGTATACACGTGGTCACAACACTATAGTACTGTAGTAAACAGTATACACGTGGTCACAACACTATAGTACTATAGTAAACAGTATACACGTGGTCACAACACTATAGTACTATAGTAAACAGTATACACGTGGTCACAACACTATAGTACTGTAGTAAACAGTATACACGTGGTCACAACACTATAGTACTGTAGTAAACAGTATACACGTGGTCACAACACTATAGTACTGTAGTAAACAGTAAACACGTGGTCACAACACTATAGTACTATAGTAAACAGTATACACGTGGTCACAACACTATAGTACTGTAGTAAACAGTATACACGTGGTCACAACACTATAGTACTGTAGTAAACAGTATACACGTGGTCACAACACTATAGTACTATAGTAAACAGTATACACGTGGTCACAACACTATAGTACTATAGTAAACAGTATACACGTGGTCACAACACTATAGTACTGTAGTAAACAGTATACACGTGGTCACAACACTATAGTACTGTAGTAAACAGTATACACGTGGTCACAACACTATAGTACTGTAGTAAACAGTATACACGTGGTCACAACACTATAGTACTATAGTAAACAGTATACACGTGGGCACAACACTATAGTACTGTAGTAAACAGTATACACGTGGTCACAACACTATAGTACTGTAGTAAACAGTATACACGTGGTCACAACACTATAGTACTGTAGTAAACAGTATACACGTGGTCACTATACTATAGTACTGTAGTAAACAGTATACACGTGGTCACAACACTACAGTACTATAGTAAACAGTATACACGTGGTCACAACACTATAGTACTATAGTAAACAGTATACACGTGGTCACAATACTACAGTACTATAGTAAACAGTATACACGTGGTCACAACACTTTAGTACTATAGTAAACAGTATACACGTGGTCACAACACTACAGTACTATAGTAAACAGTATACACGTGGTCACAACACTATAGTACTATAGTAAACAGTATACACGTGGTCACAACACTATAGTACTATAGTAAACAGTATACACGTGGTCACAACACTATAGTACTGTAGTAAACAGTATACACGTGGTCACAACACTATAGTACTGTAGTAAACAGTATACACGTGGTCACAACACTATAGTACTATAGTAAACAGTATACACGTGGTCACAACACTATAGTACTATAGTAAACAGTATACACGTGGTCACAACACTATAGTACTATAGTAAACAGTATACACGTGGTCACAACACTATTGTACTATGGTAAACAGTACACACGTGGTCACAACACTACAGTACTGTAGTAAACAGTATACACGTGGTCACAACACTATAGTACTGTATTAAACAGTATACACGTGGTCACAACACTATAGTACTATAGTAAACAGTATACACGTGGTCACAACACTACAGTACTGTAGTAAACAGTATACACGTGGTCACAACACTATAGTACTATAGTAAACAGTATACACGTGGTCACAACACTATAGTACTGTAGTAAACAGTATACACGTGGTCACAACACTATAGTACTGTAGTAAACAGTATACACGTGGTCACAACACTACAGTACTATAGTAAACAGTATACACGTGGTCACAACACTATAGTACTATAGTAAACAGTATACACGTGGTCACAACACTATAGTACTATAGTAAACAGTATACACGTGGTCACAACACTATAGTACTGTAGTAAACAGTATACACGTGGTCACAACACTATAGTACTGTAGTAAACAGTATACACGTGGTCACAACACTATAGTACTATAGTAAACAGTATACACGTGGTCACAACACTATAGTACTATAGTAAACAGTATACACGTGGTCACAACACTATAGTACTATAGTAAACAGTATACACGTGGTCACAACACTATTGTACTATGGTAAACAGTACACACGTGGTCACAACACTACAGTACTGTAGTAAACAGTATACACGTGGTCACAACACTATAGTACTGTATTAAACAGTATACACGTGGTCACAACACTATAGTACTATAGTAAACAGTATACACGTGGTCACAACACTACAGTACTGTAGTAAACAGTATACACGTGGTCACAACACTATAGTACTATAGTAAACAGTATACACGTGGTCACAACACTATATTACTATAGTAAACAGTATACGCTCGCACGGATGTTGACTATATGAGGCACGCCGACTGAGACCGAGCATGGGAGATGATTACCCACAATCCCGCAGCGAGAAAAAAGAACCATTGGATTTCGATTTAAAGCTTTCGTGACTGCAAGGATTCATCTTCTTTGGTTCTTTCGGTAAAGTCACCACGTAGAATGAGAATAAAATAATAAATTGATAAAATAAAATAACACAATAAAATTCTCACGATGTTTCGGCCACAACAGGGACGTCCCTTCACCTGATGAAGGCCGCTTGTGTTGTGGCCGAAACGTCATGAGAATTTAATTGTGTTATTTTATTTTATCAATTTATTATTTTATTCTCATTCTACGTGGTGACTTTACCGAAAGAACCAAAGAACAACCATTGGCTCATTTGTGATCACGTGATGCTCGGCAGACAAAGCGTTATGCTGTACACGTGCTGCTCGTATTGCAAGACATCGCTCGTTTATCAAATTATTATTTTTTTTACCATTTTGCTCGTATTGCAAAACACTCGCAGACCAAGTTACTCGCAATCCAACGGTTTCACTGTACTGGACTTTGAACGCCGCTACGAAGGACAGCATAACGAGAACATGATGGGAGATTACATTTGGGGGCTGATTCGTGAAAGTGATTTACAGTATAATCGTAAATCTCGAAAAACTACTCACTTCTAAATGTTTTGTAGTAAAATTTTTATTACTTTAGTATAAATGCATGTTAATTTTGATTCATGTTGTTTTTTTTTCTGGCTTTACGTGAACGAAAAGACACAAATTCGCCCGTTTTCTCATTGAAAATAGGTACATTTCAAAATATCACTGTCCTGGTCACAAAAGCAAAGTTTGTGGGGAATAATAGGCATTTTCGACACTTTTTAGGCATAAGCAATTCGGAAAATAACACTTACTACCCAGGAACAAAAATTGTGTTACATAGTGCCCAGTCAGGGGTGCCGCCAGAAATGTTGGGCCCTATGGAAACCAAAATTTCTGGGCCCCCTACATTTTTTACAGATAAAATTTTACCCAATAAACATGCCCAGTATACTTTTAAAAAATATACTTAGCACATTGCATAGTTAACATGTCTAAAGATGAGTACAAAGCCTACAAAAACAAGAAAAAAATATAGAAATATGTACTTGTTTACATAAAAGGGAGAACATTTATTATCTCAAATGCAATTGCAAGCACAACAGAACATAATGTACACATATTGACATATACTTTACATGAACAAGCTTTAGCTGGGTCAAACTGCTCAATCAGGAAACATCAGCTAGAACTAACCCATAATTAAATCAGTCCAGGAATAAAACTAGCTAGGCCAAAGGGGCTCAAAATGAAGACACACCAGGAGTAATGCCAGGCCTAAACCAGTCCAGGACTAAACAAGTACTGAACCAGACATCAACTGTTTGTTATCCAGGTCTAACAAAGTTATGTTCAACATCACTTTATAATGGCCCAGCGGCATGCCTTTCTGCTGGCAAAATCACGTATCAAATCATCAAAGTTCAGCTTTCTTGCCAGTTTGCTTTCAATGGATAGTATGGCAAGGTGACAAAGTCTATCCTGCAACATAGCAGACCTCAGATAATTTTTTTATCAGTTTCAGCTTACTGAATGCTCTCTCGCCACCAGCAACGGTCACAGGCGGTGTGCAAAATATTCGCAAAACTATGCAGACCTGCCCAAAAATACTCTGCAGCTGCATCTTGTAAATGCTGTTGAGCAGATAAATTGGTGAGACACCCTGGGATAGTGCCCCTATATACAGAGTTGAGGTGTCTGACTTCATCTTCAAATTCACAAGTCAGATCAGTGTTGTATTTTGAAATCAATGGCTGGCATACAGAATGGATTTGATCATCACGTAACTGACCCATCTTTACAACTACAGAAAACTGATCCAAGATCTCAGCTGTTGTGGCAAACCTGGCACTTAAGTCATTGATTATGTGGTCCATCATGGGAAAAAACACAGTGTTTCTGAATATGGTGTCTGCACTGTGCTCCCTTGCTCCCTCTACCTCTGTCTCATCGTGATACCGTTTTCTTTTCCTCTGGCGGCTGAATCCTGACCTGAACAGAGGGTTAATGCTCATCTGTTGGGCAACAAGTGATGCTTCAGAAAAGAAACTCTACCATTCATCCCTCAGATGTTGCATCTCCTCTTGCAATACTCTGATATTTCTGCCTCTGTCTCAAGAGTTAATTTCCCTGACTGGAGAATAATATTCCTTTTGCCAATGGCTTGCAGAACTTTGACCCAAACAGTCAACAGAAAAACAGTATCAAAAGTTTCAAAATACTTTTTTAGGCCGCTGGCTTCAGACCGAGCCTCTGGTGTCAGACTGCAGGTTGAGAGGATGGCATCAAGAGTTTCTAGGACACTGGGCAGGTGCTTGGCTATGGATTGAACAGCCTTAACCCTTGCACTCCACCGAGTGTCTGACAGACGATGTAAAGTGCAACCCGTTTTTGCCTTATAGATGGCCCATCGCTCTGGGCTGGCACTAACAAGTGCATAAAGGCGATTGACAAAGCCAAAAAAGTTGGTAACCTCTGGACTTGATTGAGCTGCATGCACACCAACAAGGTTCAGAGTATGAGACGCACAAGGGGAAAAAGTAGCCAGCTTATTCTTTTTTAATAATTGGGCTTGAACCCCCTTGATTTTTCCATACATGTTTGCCCCATTATCATAGCCTTGGCCCCTGCAGTCATTCAGATCTATGCCATGACTGTTAAGCACATTTACAATCATGTCTGCAATCTCACTTCCTGTTTTTTTGTGAAAATCTTTAAACTCCAAAAACCTTTCAACAACCTCCCATTTATTGTTTTCTTGATCAAAACCTACATATCGTAAGAGTAATACATTTTGCTCTGTATGTGAAATATCAGGAGTAGCATCGCAAATGACTGAATAATAGACTGATTCCTCCCTTTCCTTAAGAATACTACTTAACACTCCTTTTCCACATAACTCAATAAATTCGTTCTGAATATCTGAGCTTAAATAGTGTGTCAATCTTGTTCCTGTTTTTTTTGTCTCTGACTTTTTGTAGATGTTCGTTGAGTAGTGGGTCATAATGGGACAGGAGCTCAAGGGTGCCCAAGAAGTTGCCATTATGAATGTCCCCCAAGTCTTTTGTTTTACCCCTAAAGGGTAAATTTCGAGAGGCCAAGAACAAGGTTACATCTAGTATCCTCTTCAGAATAGCTCTATTTTTGTCTATTTCTGTTTGTATGAGCTTCTTCAGCTTGCTGTCTATTCCCCCAGGGACAGCTGCCATTACAGACTGTTGTAAGGTTTTCCATTTTAAGAAGCACTCCCTGGGGGCTTTGCTGCTTTCGTGGTTAGGGAATTTATCATACATTCGACGCCATGTTATGTCTTTGATTTTATAACCATGTTGACTGCTGAGTGTGCTCATACAAGGTTTCTTTAGCTCATGACCAAATACTACACAAGGAATACAAAATAGTGCATTTGTGCTTTGGCTGTAAATGACCCAGTCTCTCTGAATCTTTTCCCTGCAATTTCCTGACTTTGTGTACTTGGGGTATTAGGGGAAGGCTTTACCTTTTGAATCATGTGGCATTTCTTGTTCTTTATCTTTAGAAGAAGCTATTTTTTCCACAGTTTTTTCTCTGTCTGCATTGCTATTTTTTGCTGGCCACAAACCAGGATCATTTGACACAACAGTCTCTTCTTCATCTTCCTCTGAGTCTGCTCTCATGGCTTCCCCTGTTCTCTCATCTTCCTCTGAGTCTGCTCTCATGGCTTCCTCTGTTCTCTCATCTTCCTCTCTTCTGTTATCTTCCTTTACACGTAGGGCTCCCTCTGTGCTCTCATATTCCACTATTCTCACCGCTTCCTCAACTTCCACACTCTTTCCTGGCAAAACTCTCTGTCTCTCTCTTGTTTCTGTGGGGTTAGGATAGCAAAATCATTTTTGTCCCCCAGTCAACAACAAGTTACAGCTTAGAATTAATATTTTCTTAACTGCATTGTTGAATAATATTATATGAAACATATAACTATACAACACAAGAAAAAAATTAGACAATCCAAAACTTAATTAGTTTTTTACTACCTTGGTAGCTGACCATGTTCACCTTACCTGACACTGAGAGGACTGGGTCATTAGTAGGAGAACGAGGTGCAGACAATAAAGCTGACTCTGCATCTGTATAAGTCAAACACACACACGTAATAATAACCATATTATTTTTATTGGCCTATTTAGCTTTCTTAATATAAATATTAAAATATCTATTTTGTAAACTCCTTATAGCCAATGGTTACTACAGACACATGTTTATTCAGTTTTATATTATTTTTTCTGGGGCATTTTATTCACATTAAGAACGTCAAGTTTGACAGCATCGATCGTAGCAGCAGCACTGTCACGTCACAGAACACACGACACACACACGGCAAACTGATTTTGTAATTTTTGAAGCGTGTAGATTACTTTTTGATTTGTAAAGTTATCATCATGTGGCGAACACAGTAGATAAGACGTGTTTAGAGGCTTCAATCTTCGTGAAGTTTCGCGCTCAGGCTCACCTTGTTCGGCTGAGACGGGGGACGTGGGGGAAGAAGGACGTGGGTGTGCAGCAGCCGCTGAATCTGTGTCTTCGAGACATGATAACCCCGGAGACAGCAGAGATGTTATTATTGTTGGATGTAAATCATAATTCAGTAATTATTTTACTAAGCTAGCTAGATAAAAGCAGGTCATGTAGCAACAAAAATAAGTAACTCTGAAAGTTTTGGAATACAGGAATAGGGCAAGCTACCTTTCTTTTTGAAAAACTGTGTGACATACTGTCGCCTTCGGCGTTCCCTGTCTTCTCTTTCCTTCTTTCCGTTTTTGATGCCCTGACTTTTGATGTGACATGCCTGCGTGTGTCACTGTCTGCACTGCATCATAGCAAGTGCAATAAGCAAGAGACGCTACACTCTCGATCGTAGCTCGGACAGCGCAGGTGGGATGAACCATTGTGAGGGGGAGGGGTGTGACTGAAACAGTAAATACATTATTTGTTTTTTTAAATATTAAATCTATGGTCAAAACGGACAAAATACACATTTAGTGCACGAGGGACCCTAGCACATTTAATGTATGTATAAAAAAGAGAATAAATAAGAAAAGAAAAAGGGGGTCTGCTCTTCTGGGCCCTAAATCAGCCTGGGCCCTTAGAATCGTCCTAACCTTCCACCCCTTTACGGCGCCCTTGAGTGCACTATGTAACACAATTCTTTTTCCTGGGTAGCAAGGGCAGACCAATTCAGACCTATTTGGTCACTCCGTGCCCTTATAAATCTCAACGTTCGTCATACAAAGTCCCATAACAAGGGAGAAACACAAACAAATAGTCAAAGAAATGTTTGCCCGTATGGACCTGAAACGTTATTTCCCTCTACAAGAATACGGGGTAAGCCATACGGATTGACGGGTATGCGACAGCCAAAACACAGTACGCATTTAATCAGTCGTGGATTACAAGAATAATATGGACTCATTAAACACGACATACAGAGCGTATTCATCTTTGTGAAGTAACTGCATCGATGGGCAAGCAAATACACTACAATAAGTATACTCTCTATAGCTCTATGCCAAGCCCAGAATGTAATCGTTCACATATTTAGCACATCAAACTGGTACGCCAAACGTACACTTTACTCCCGACATATGTACTTACGATCCATTTATTTCATACGTATGTCTTTCGTTCTGATGCGAATGTCCGCGCTATTAAATGTTAGCCGGTGCGTTTGTTCGGCTCTTGAAGACAGGGACCTTGAAACCCACAACTTCAAATCTGTCACGCAGTTTTCTCGAAAAGGGGGATTCCCCATCGCGTTCAAATCGAAAGCGGAAAAAAAATAAAAACCCGTTTGCTTGAAAGAGGCGAGTGGGTGGGGCGCGCGCTCTGCTATTTTCAAGTTCAAAGACATTTAAAAAGTTAAGCAAGCGCTCCCCAATATGCAGGACAATCTTCCCTGTAAAGTTTGGTAGGCTGTGGTTGCCCTGGCGAGTGCATCTTGGCGCAGCGAGAATGATGCTTGGTGAATAACGGGGACCGCTGAGTGTGAATTCATGCCAAGTTACCACGTGCCCGACCTTGCCCCTTCATGAGTTATTCTCCCCCGCTGGCGTGGACGCTGAATGGGAAGGAAGGCCAATGATCTCTTGAGAGTATTTGAGTAAGGGCGTGGCTCGTAGAATTGCATAATCTATCGGTGGATATATCCCGAGGGACTGCAAAAGAAAGAGGATGCATCGAGCAAACCGAAATTGTTGTTTACAGCAAGAGCACTTTAAGTCGGACGCAGACGTCACCAACGTAAAGCCGACCAAGCGAGCCCATGCAATCATCCACCACTGGTGGATCACTGGAGCGTGTGACCTTGATTTTTATATGTTCGTTGCTTAGCACCTGCACACCACCAAACATTCGTGTTGCTACCAACACAAGTTGTGTTTCCATCGACACGACATTTGGTGCTTGGGGGAGAGTATATAATTCTAAAGGTCCTTCATAAGAGCTATCGCAATTTGGAGGAAAGCCACTCTAGAAAAAAAAACGTTCTAAGTTCTGCATACACTTCCAAGACCTCGGCGACCCCCAAAGATTCTGTCCAACCTCTACATTTTCATCTTGAAAGGTGAACGGTGGATTTCTATATATTTTTTTACTGATAGCGATTTTGCATTAATGGCAAAAGTATCAGAAAATAAAAGCATTATGAATGTTAGGACAGTTGTATGCACAACTAAGACACGAATGTAATTGTTTCTTGAAACGGTATTGATTTTTTTTATTAAACAAAAAACAAAGCTGCGGCATGTGAAGAAAATTGAATCTCTTCCCATCTATTTCCACCGCCCCCCCCCCCCATATATTTTTTCGACTGTAGATTTTCGCTACAATCCGACACTATAGGTCGACGTGAATGGAGGTTGTTGGTCGACCCAATCTTCATATCGACCTCAGTTCTGTTACGTTTGTTAATAGATTGACAAATATCCTGAGATTGGGTTAGCCTGGTCACCTATGGCCATACAAACAAAACAAAAAATCACACGTATGCATGCATGCATGCATTATGCAATGCTTTCCAACGTGAATTTTTTGGGGAGTATTTACTATTTAACATATATGTGTGCATACCTGTTATGCTATACTATGTATCATGAACTTGGACATTAACGAAGTTCCCACCCCATTGCTTGGGGATCGTGGGAACCTTGTTGGAACGTCTGCGTCGGATCCCTCCGCTATAAATAAATATTCTGACTCTGATTCTGTCTGCGTCAATGGCAAGTGCGTGAATGAACCGGTGGGCGGTGGTGGCCGCCCATAATCCAGCATTGCGGCGGCAAGCGGACGTCGCCGGATCGCCGCGGCTGCGCATCAACCCCACCGCGGGGGCGTCGAGGAGGTGGCGTATCCTGGCTCGCCAGGGGGAAGGCAGTGCAGCAAGTGAACTGATCTCCATCTCATTCCATCTGGGCGGCGGGTTTGTAGCGTTGCCCCCTTGCGCGCGCGTGAGTTTTCTCCGGCTGCTCCAGTGATCTCCTCCCTCGTGCATAATCAATTGGGCTGAAAACATCTGAGTCCATTCCGCGTTCCGATGATGTACACGTACGTACGTCATCAGTGGCTCTTCTGATTCCGTTCCGAAGACGCGCACGTACGTCAAAAAAATGTCTTCATCGGTACGTCTTTTGACCTGACGACGAACCGAGGCTCCCCTCGAGGCCACGCGGGGAGGGGCGTGTGGCACAGTTTTGGCGCCGGCTATTGTCGAGTGGCGGTGGTTGTGTCACTATGGTTCTCTGCGGTGAGGAACGACGTCTTTGTGAAAATAACGGCGCTGCTGCTGCTACTACCATGCCTCTCTCTGCATAAATGAAAGCTGAACCGCTCGCGCGTTCCGAGATACGGCGGTGAACGGGACACCCACCCACACACCACCCAGCGACTTGCAGGCGTCTCGGAACGGGCAGAGGGTTAAGAAAATGTATCTGCAACACCCTCCTGAAAAGGAGCCCTACGACTCAGCGTGGCTCTCCTGGATAAATAAGTAAATTATTTTTGTTATTGCCGCTGCTGAAGGAGGTGCACGAAGAGAAGTGAGGTTGGCGATGTTGGCGATGTTGTTCCACCTGTGCCCACTGTTCGTGTCGGTCCAGCAGAAGTAGAAGCGATGTTGGCGATGTTCCTCCGCCTGTGTCCACTGTTCGTGTCGGTTCAGAACGAGCGGGAGGAGCGATGTTGGTGATGTTGTTCCACCTGTGCCCACTGTTTGTGTCGCTTCAGAACGAGCGGGAGGAGCGATGTTGGCGATGTTGTTCCACCTGTGCCCACCATTCGTGTCGGTTCAGAACGAGCGGGAGGAGCGATGTTGGTGATGTTGTTCCACCTGTGGCCCACTGTTCGTGTCGCTTCAGAACGAGCGGGAGGAGCGATGTTGGTGATGTTGTTCCACCTGTGGCCCACTGTTAGTGTCGCTTCAGAACGAGCAGGAGGAGCGATGTTGGCGATGTTGTTCCACCTGTGGCCACTGTTCGTGTCGCTTCAGAACAAGGGGAGGAGCGATGTTGGCGATGTTGTTCCACCTGTGCCCACTGTTCGTGTCACTTCAGAACGAGGGGGAGGAGCGATGTTGGCGATGTTGTTCCACCTGTGCCCACCGTTAGTGTCGCTTCAGAACAAGGGGAGGAGCGATGTTGGCAATGTTGTTCCACCTGTGGCCCACTGTTCGTGTCACTTCAGAACAAGGGGAGGAGCGATGTTGGCGATGTTGTTCCACCTGTGGCCCACTGTTCGTGTCGCTTCAGAACGAGGGGAGGAGCGATGTTGGCTATGTTGTTCCACCTGTCCCCACTGTTACTGTCGCTTCAGAACGAGCGGGAGGAGCGATGTTGGCGATGTTGTTCCACCTGTGGCCACTGTTCGTGTCGCTTCAGAACGAGCGCGAGGAGCGATGTTGGCGATGTTGTTCCACCTGTGGCCACTGTTTGTGTCGCTTCCGAACGAGCGGGAGGAGCGATGTTGGTGATGTTGTTCCACCTGTGCTCACTGTTAGTGTCACTTCAAAACAAAGGGAGGAGCGATGTTGGCGATGTTGTTCCACCTGTGGCCCACCATTCGTGTCACTTCAGAACAAGGGGAGGAGCGATGTTGGCGATGTTGTTCCACCTGTTGCCCACCATTCGTGTCGCTTCAGAACAAGGGGAGGAACGATGTTGGTGATGTTGTTCCACCTGTGCCCACTGTTCGTGTCGCTTCAGAACGAGTAGGAGGAGCGATGTTGGCGATGTTGTTCCACCTGTGGCCACTGTTAGTGTCGCTTCAGAACGAGCGGGAGGAGCGATGCTGGCGATGTTGTTCCACCTGTGCCCACTGTTCGTGTCGCTTCAGAACGAGTAGGAGGAGCGATGTTGGCGATGTTGTTCCACCTGTGGCCACTGTTAGTGTCGCTTCAGAACGAGTAGGAGGAGCGATGTTGGCGATGTTCCTCCGCCTGTGCCCGCTGTTCGTGTCGCTTCAGAACGAGCGGGAGGAGCGATGTTGGCGATGTTGTTCCAACTGTGCCCACTGTTCGTGTCGCTTCAGAACAAGGGGAGGAACGATGTTGGTGATGTTGTTCCACCTGTGCCCACTGTTCGTGTCGCTTCAGAACGAGTAGGAGGAGCGATGTTGGCGATGTTCCTCCGCCTGTGCCCGCTATTCGTGTCGCTTCAGAACGAGCGGGAGGAGCGATGTTGGCGATGTTGTTCCAACTGTGCCCACTGTTCGTGTCGCTTCAGAACAAGGGGAGGAACGATGTTGGTGATGTTGTTCCACCTGTGGCCACTGTTAGTGTCGCTTCAGAACGAGCGGGAGGAGCGATGTTGGCGATGTTGTTCCAACTGTGCCCACTGTTCGTGTCGCTTCAGAACAAGGGGAGGAGCGATGTTAGCGATGTTGTTCCAACTGTACCCACTGTTCGTGTCGCTTCAGAACGAGGGGGAGGAGCGATGTTGGCGATGTTCCTCCGCCTGTTCCCGCTGCTGGCGTCGCTTCTTGTCGTCGCGCTGGCAGAATCCGGCGGGTCACGCACCCCGGAGCCGCCGGGGTCGTGCGTCGCCGGGATTCCGGGAATCCCAGGGCACCACGGCGCTCCCGGCAGGGACGGCCGGGATGGAGAGAAAGGTGACCCCCTTCTCCGGCCCTTCCCCACCAAAACCCCCAACCCAGAACCCCCCACACCCCAGAGCCGCTCCTCTAGGGCATTGGTTCTCACCCGGGGGTACGAGTATATTATTTGTATAATCGTTGTTGTAAAGTGCCTTTGAATGATGCGCTTCTATAGACAGCATTCCCTCATTATTCACGAACTTGGCTATCCGCGATTTTAGCTATTTGCTAATTGCATTTGGAACTGTACACGACTACCGCATCGAGAGAGAGAAATAAAGTTATGATTAGATAAAGCGATGAGAGATAAAGCGATGCGCAATAAAGTGATGAGAGATAACGTGATGACAGATAAAGTGATGAGAGAGAATGTGTTGCGAGAAAGTGATGACGTAAAGTGTTGAGAGAAAGTGATGAGATAAATCGATGAGATAAAGTGATGAGAGATAAAGCGATGAGAGATAAAGCGATGACAGATAAAGTCACGGCAGAGAAAGTTATGAGAGATAAACCGATGGGAGATAAAGTAATGAGGGAGAATGTGATGTGAGAAAGTAATGAGATAAAGTGATGAGAGATAAAGTGATGAGAGAGAATGTGTTGCGAGAAAGTGATGACGTAAATTGATGAGAGAGAAAGTGATGAGATAAATTGATGAGATAAAGTGATGAGAGATAAAGCGATGAGAGATAAAGCGATGACAGATAAAGTCATGGCAGAGAAAGTGATGAGAGATAAACCGATGGGAGATAAAGTAATGAGGGAGAATGTGATGTGATAAAGTGATGAGAGATAAAGCGATGAGAGATAATGTGTTGAGATAAAATTTACGAGATAAAGTGATGAAAGATCAAGCCATGAGAGATAAAGTGACCACAGGTAAAGTGGTGAGAGAGAATGTGATGTGAGAAAGTAATGAGATAAGTGATGAGAGAAAAAGCGATTCGATAAAAGATATCGTTTTCATAGGCCAATATCATTATTCGCGAAATTTGCTATTTACGAGCACAGTGAAACTTTGGATTGCGAGCATAATTCGTTCCGGAAACGTGCTCATAATCCAAAGCACTCGTTTATCAAAGCGAATTTCCCCATAAGAAATAATGGAAACTCAGATCATTCGTTTCACAACCCAAAAAATACTGTATTCATATAAAAAGTGATTAATACAAAATACCTTTTAATATTTGTATTATTTAAATTTAATATTAAAGTGATCAAATTTATTAATTACATTTCATCGTGGCTGGTGTGAGGGAGACGAGAGAGAGGAGATGAGGAGGAGTGTTATTGTGTAGGACGACTTTCACTTGCAGTAAGAACAGTCACTACATTTGGACACAAAATAAAAATAAATGCTTTACGCACACACACGTGGTCACAACACTATAGTACTATAGTAAGCAGTATACATTCGCACGGATGTTGACTATACGAGTGAGGCACGCCGACTGAGACCGAGCATGGAAGATGATTACCCACAATCCCGCAGCGAGAGAGAGAGAGAGAAGAACCATTGGCTCAGTTGTGATCACGTGACGCTCAGCAGACAAAGCGATTACCCACAATCCCGCAGCGAGAGAGAGAGAGAGAAGAACCATTGGCTCAGTTGTGATCACGTGATGCTCGGCAGACAAAGCGATTACCCACAATCCCGCAGCGAGAGAGAGAGAAGAACCATTGGCTCAGTTGTGATCACGTGACGCTCAGCAGACAAAGCTTATACTGTGTACGTACTGCTCGTATTGCAAGACATCGCTCGTTTATCAAATCATTATTTATTTAAAAATTTTGCTCGTCTTGCAAAACACTCGCAGACCAAGTTACTCGCAATCCAAGCTTTAACTGTATCTCCGTCCGGAACGTATCCATCGCGAATAACGAGGGAATACTGTGAATCTAGATAAGATTTAACAAAAACAACGAAAGTCATCTAAGGATCGCCCAAAAATATGTCCGCTAAGACCCGCGCTAAAAGGACATGTCTATTGCTTTTTTTTGTAAAGTGCTTAACGATGCATAATCTGAACGCATCCCTGTGGACTCAGGGATAACTGGATCAAAAGGCGAGCCCGGAGTTCATGGAAGCAAAGGAGAAGCTGGCGAACGAGGTGGGTGGATCACAGACCGTCACTGATCCAATGCAAATCCAACGCAGAAGATCCCTGGGGTTTGATCTTCCACGAAGCTCATGGTCCACCCGAATGACATCCACTGCAACAACAACAACCGCCATTTGCCACTAATTGGCGGTGACATCACCACGGCGCTTGGGCCCGGCTATGTGCACGTTAAGGCCACGTGAAGTGCGGTTACCTGATGCACACGTGAAAAATGTAAAACTCTGCAGTAGTATTGGTGTGCGACTGTGGTCATCCAGAACAGAGACCGTACACAACGTGTAAAGACGCAATGCCCCGATCCACAAATACGAAGGAGACATCGTCACAGCGATGATGACAATGATGATGCACTACTCCGCTCTTGCTCCCGCTAACGCGGTCGACTGGGCTTGCCCACCTGAATGTGAAATTGTGGTCTTTGTTCTGCGTCTACATCAGCTGTTGACTCATAGATACCCATGGAGATCCAGACTCATAGAGACGCGCAGAGACTCAAAGACCCATAGAGACCCGCAGAAACTCGTAGGCACCCACGGAGACTCACAGAGATCCGTGGAGATTCTGACCCAGAGACTTTTGTAGACCCAGGCTTATAGAATCGCATAGAGATTCATAGACTCACAAAGACCCATAGAGATCCATAGACTCATAGAGACCCATAGAAGTGCATAGACCCATACACTAATGGAGACGTCACAGCGATACACTCCGCTACACCTGACACGGTTGTCTGGGCTTCACCGCCTGAACGTGAAATTGTAGTTGCTCGGCATCCGCTCTGATTAAAGTAGATTCTGAAGTGTAGCGATGTGACGCACCAAGGTCACCCTGGCCTTGTCACTCTCTTTCCATACCCTAGCCTTGCCTCTCTCTCTCTCTCCACCCTGGCCTTGCAACTCTCTCTCGAGACCTTGTCCTTGCCTCTCTCTCTCCACCCTGGCCTTGCCACTCTCTCTCTACCCTGGCCTTGCCACTCTCTCTCCACCCTGGCCTTGCCACTCTCTCTCGAGACCTTGTCCTTGCCTCTCTCTCTCTCCACCCTGGCCTTGCCACTCTCTCTCGAGACCTTGGTCTTGCCTCTCTCTCTCCACCCTGGCCTTGCAACTCTCTCTCTCGAGACCTTGGCCTTGCCTCTCTCTCTCTCCACCCTAGCCTTGCCACTCTCTCTCCATCCTGGCCTTGCCACTCTCTCTCGAGACCTTGCCTCTCTCTCTCTCTCCACCCTGGCCTTGCAACTCTCTCCCTCTCCACGTCAGAACACTTGGCTTCCTGTGCTTTTAGACATGAGTGGAAGGTGCCTTACAAATAAATGTCAATTATCATTTGTTTTCAGGTGCCCCGGGTAAACTGGGTCCCAGCGGCGGAGCGGGCCCCATCGGTCCTCCGGGACCGCGCGGATCGAAGGGCGACGAGGGAGGGAGCCCCGCGGTCCCCAAGTCGGCCTTCACGGCCAAGATCTCCTCCTCCAATCCCCCCGCAGGCTCGCCCATCAAGTTCGACGTCGTCATCAGCAACGATCAGGGCCACTACGATCCCCTGAGCGGGAAGTTCACCTGCGTTCACCCGGGCCTCTACTACTTCGTGATGCACGCCCACGTCTATAAACACGATCTGTGCGTGGCGCTCATCAAGGATGGCAACAGAGTCGTTTCCTTTTGCAGTAACAACATAGAGAACAAATATGCCAATGCTATTAGTGGGGGGTCGGTGCTCAGCCTTAAGGCGGGTGACAAGGTCTGGCTTCAGGTGGCCGATGCTTACAATGGAATGTTCTCTCAAGCCGGCTATCGCGACAGCTCGTTCACTGGATTCCTTTTGTTCTCCGATTAAAATGAAGAGCATCAACCTCTGCCACATCAGAGCAGGATACATAAAAGCACCGGGTGGTTTTATTTAAACATATCTATATTTCACCTGTTAGACTAACAAAAAATCCCACTTCATGTAGAGGAACAAATTTGATGACGCTTTAGTGTTGATGAGCGTGCGAAGGCTCTTTTGTAACGTGCTGGCGGTATATTTTTTTTGGGGGGGGGGGGGGGTTTGCACACGCGTGTTGTGGCCTTTTTCTTTTCACCAAGTGCACGGACGTGGAGACACGTTGGGATCGGAGGAGAAAATGCCGATCGAATTTTATTGACTCAAAATTTATTTTTAAGAAAGTATATATTTTTAAGTGGGCTTGGGGCCAGAACACACGTCGCGAGAGAGGACGCCGAACCCAACGGTCGAAACTAAGGATGGAGTGGTAACCAAAGAGATAACACGCCCGAGATGACATAATATTTGATATTCTTGGTTCTTTCGGGAAAATTCACATAGAAGGGAAACAAAATAATAAAGATATAAAACAATAAAATTCTCACGACGTTTCGACTGCAACACAAGCAATCATCATCAGGTGTGAAAACCACAGCAAGAAAATTTGAAAAAAGTGGCGTTTTTTTAACGTTAGCACCACGAAGTTAATCAGATGGACGAGTCCATCTATATTCATATTTTTAGCTCTTTCGGTAAAGTCACGTTGAAGGGAAAGAGCTAAGAATATGAATTACTGCAGTAACGAAAGCTTTAAATCAAAATTTGAGTCCATCTATGTTCGGAAAAGAGGAGGGGGGAGACGAAAATAATGGATGCGGTCTGAAAGCCACCGTAAGCGTGAACAATCAATTAAGACCCGAAATGGTTTATCAAATCCTTCAAATGATTGCTAAGCTATAATCCATCTTCTCGGTTGAAATTGTCTCTGTGTTTGTATATGCGGATAGCCTCATGAACGAATCTCTCATGATAGCCAGATAGCTTGCAGAAAACCTCTGTCTTGGAGAAGTCAATGTCATGTGAGGCTACTGAATTATAACAGTGATCTGCCACGGCCGAGGTGTTGGTTCTACCGTGTTTTAAGTCTGCTTTGTGTTCACGGATGCAGTCCGAGACATGTCGTTTGGTTTCTCCAATGTAACTACTGAAAAAAAACTACATAGCTCAGTGGGCCTTACCTGCAAAGATAAAGGTAGTTTATTCGTTACAAAAATATATAACAGTTGAATTTTTCAGCGGCGGACCTTTAACATCATTAACATCATATCCAGAAGGATAATGTTGGTCAACTGGAAGAATTATGAGCCACCCCCCAAATTGGAAACAGTGGTATAGTCCACTCTGGAAGACAGCTGAGTCATGAGCTCAGGGGAAGCGAGAAGGAATTTGAAGTCAGCTGGTTCCCCCCCTCTCCCATCTTGTGTAGAGGGTAAAGTGAACTAGCCAGGATGAGGAGGGGTGGTAACAGGGACCAAAGAAGAGGGGGTATTTAAAAAATATACAAACCCCTCAGGGACCTAGCAGGAGCGGTGTTTGGATAGGTGAGAGGGAAAGTGCTCAATGCACAATGGCCGCATTTATGGTTTTTTGATTTTAGGTTTAACCCCATGCCAACCACCCCCCCCCCCCCCCTCCATCTATCTCTCTCCCCCTTCGTAAGTTGGTTGTACCCCCACACCACCACCTCCTCCCTCCTCACTACCCCCACCCTCTCATTTAAACCCCCATTTTCCCCTGGCGCGATACCCCTTCGTGAACGGGATAGCGGGGCCAAACTATCCCCATCCTTTATCCCCCCCACCCTTCCCTTAAATGGCTCTCAGTCGCATATGGGATTGATCTATCTGGCGAACGATACCAGAATCAGTATTTATACCGCAGGAAGAGGAATCCGATGAGCTATAAAGCTCTTTTGTCACAGATCTCCAGTAGGGGCACGGGGTCAGAACGTTTGGTTTGCGACACGTTATCCAACTTGCTGGAACTGGCCTGCGTTCTTGTTGCAAACATATATAAAGGATTAAAAACAATTGAAGTTGATTTAAAGCTTTCGTGACTGCAGGGATTCATATTCTTGGTTCTTTCGGTAAAGTCACGTAGAAGGGAAACAACATAATAAAATATATTTTTTATCATTACCGAAAGAACCAAGAATATAATTGAAGTTGAGTTTAGTAATGGAGGATTTCACGGCTGCTCGCTATGAGTCGTACATTCTTGTATAAAATGTACGCATTTCCGGCGGGGGCATTGGCAATGCAAAAAAAAACGTGGCCCATTGTTAATCGGTAATCTTCTTCTTGTCCTTGTACGGCTGCTGATGTAGATGCCACAGAGCAACATCTCACAATGTCATCACATTGGGGTGGTCAAGCCCAGCGGACAACTACGTGACAAGCAGTAGCGGAGTAGTGAATCATCATCATCACCATCGCTGTGATGTCTGCTTCTTGTGTGTCCGGGGCATTGCGTTGTGTTATGCGCTGTGTGGGGTCTGTTCTGGATGACCACAGTCACACACTGGCTGATGCTGATGATGGTGAATTATGATATAAGGCTCAGAGAGGACTTTATCCAGCAGTGGATAGACCCTGGCTGATGCTGCTGCTGCAGAGCAACATCTCACAATGTCATCACATTCGGGTGGTCAAGCCCAGCAGACAACCGCGTCAGCAGGAGCAGTAGCGGAGTAGTGCATCATCATCGCTGCGATGATGTCTCCTTCGTATTTGTGTATCGGTGGCATTGTCGTTATACGTTATGCTGAGTGGTGAGTGAGTGGTGTCCGCATCTGACAGAAGATATACAGCAATAATTTACTCGACATTTATTTGCCATCTGTGCTTCAGGCAACATCTGCTACCGCTGGTGCCATGGTTTGTGCAGTGGGTGATGCGGTTAAGGAGTGGGACCACGAGCAGATTCGCGGAAGATCGAACAAACGCCAGAGGATCTTCTGCGTTCGGTCTTCCACGAGAAAAAACTGCTGTTCATTAATCGGCACATTGATGAGAGTTTACACAGGTCAGACCACGCTTTAGCACGACCCCCGCTGATTCGTTTATAGCGCTCTGTCACTAAAAAAATTTTGTTTGTTGATTAAAAATAAAAAAAATTAAAATGATAACCAAAGTGCGTACCTGTCAACCCCTTATCAGTGCCTACCTTTACACAGACCAATTCAGACCTTATTGGTCGCCCCGTGCCCCTTATACATCTCAACGTTCATCCTGCAAAGTCCCATCACATGGGAGAAATACAAACAGACCATTACCACTGGTACACTCACCACTACACTCACCACTACATACCTGTCAACCCCTTATCAGTGCCCAACCTTATTACAGACCAATTCAGACCTTATTGGTCACCTCGTGCCCCTTATAAATCTCAACGTTCGTCCTGCAAAGTCCCATCACATGGGAGAAACACAAACCAATAGACATGGGTTGATGGCTATGCACGTGATTACGGGTGAGAACATGCAGCATCAGTGACGACCGAGGAAATGGTACCCCCCCCCCCTTCATCCGCTCAGCCAATGAGAGTAACGCATGCTCTGAGCCAATCAGGCCCCGCCCCCACCCGCGATTTGTCCGTTCGTTGCTTCGTCCGCTTGTCGTGGAGAGGGTCGCGACGGCAGCAACGTGTTGAGCAGTGGTGGGCCACACCTCCCCTTCCCTGGCGACAGACTCTAGAGCTCTCCATTGCTATACACTACTATACACTACACACTACTATACACTATACTACTATACACTATTATACACTACACTACTATACACTACACTACTATACACTACACTACTATACACTATACTACTATACACTATACTACTATACACTATACTACTATACACTATACTACTATACACTACACTACTATACACTATACTACTATACACTATACTACTATACACTACACTACTATACACTACACTACTATACTACTATACACTATTATACACTATACACTACTATACACTATACTACTATACACTACACTACTATACACTACAGTACTATACACTACGCTACTATACACTACACTACTATACTCTATACTACTATACACTATTATGCACCATACTATACACTACACTACTATACACTATACTATACACTACACTATACTATACACTACACTACTATACACTACACTATACACTACACTACTATACACTACACTATACACTACACTATACACTACACTATACACTACACTACTATACTCTACACTACTATACACTACACTACTATACACTATACTACTATACACTATACTACTATACACGACACTACTATACACTATACTACTATACACTATACCACTATACACTACACCACTATACACTATACTACTATACACTATTATACACTATACTACTATACACTATACTACTATACACTATACTACTATACACTATTATACACTATACTACTATACACTACTATACACTATACTACTATACACTATTATACACTATACTACTATACACTACACTACTATTCACTACACTATTCACTATACTACTACACACTACACTATACTACTACACACCACACTATAGTACTATACACTACACTACTATAAACTAAGCTGATGTACACTACACTACTATACACTATTCACTAAACTACTATACACTACACTATACACTAAACTAATGTACACTACACTATACTACTATGCACTACACTATTCACTATACACTACAATGCACTACACTAAACTGCTATACACTACACTACTATACACTACTATACACTACACTATACACTACTATACACTACACTATACACTACTATACACTACACTATACACTACACTATACACTACTATACACTACACAATACACTACTATACACAGACTCTAGCTCTTCCTGGGGAATTCCCACGCGTTCCCAGGCCAGCCGAGCGACATCGTCCCGCCAGCATGTCCTGGGCCAGGCCCGGGGTCTTCGCTCAGTGCTTATGACGATTTGTAGTGACAATTGCATAAAAAATATAGATTTTTTTTTTATTCAGCCAGGTAAGAACTCACACGAGACCAGGATAAGGTTCTCAGTCTTCACCGAAAAGATACCTCGCCGACGGAAATTTAAGACTGAGGGTATCGCTTTTTAAGACCCGGATTGGGAGCGGAATAGCCCCTGCAACCTCTGCTCCCACTGCTGCCTTGTAAGACTAACAGCATAATGCACTCACTGGTCCAGTACATAATACTGATGTAGATTTAGTTTTACTCATTAAGTAATGTTTACCGTCTGTATTATTACTAGCGCTATGACCGATACCCCAAGGGAGCCCTTGTTTATTGCTCATACGAACGGAATGACGCTGCTGGGAACGCATCCCCCGTATATGCAATGGGGGGGGGGGGGGGGGGGAGTGGAGTATAGTTGATCCCCTTTTAGCGCCGATTTCATTATCGCTGCTCTCACTCCAGGAGAAAGAACGACACATTCTTGAGTGCTTAGCGAAGGCCCCACTTAGCGAAGACCGCACACACGCACACAGACATCCAAGTAGACGAACCAGCACAGAGACAAGCCCACAGTGAAGTCGCCTTAAATAGGCGACT